TGCTCCCTGACAGCCCTGCAAGCTGCTGCTCCACCCGAGGTGTTCAGCAGGGCTCTGGGTGATCCCTCCCTGCCTTCTCTGCAGTGCTGTGCTGGCAACTCCAGCCTCGGGAAGGCTTGGAATAAAAGCAGTTTATCTGGGGGGATGCTGAGCAGGATCCCAGCTCCTTCTAAATCTGGCAAGGGGGGGATGGTGGAGCAGATTCCCGGGGCTGAGTCACCCCAGAGGCACCAGGAACACACCAGCCCTTCTGGTGGGGTGGGGGGACACCTGAAGGTGCTGCCACAGCTCCCATTAAACCAGGGATTGGATGTTACAAGGATCACTACTAATTCCTGCCAAGCTTTAGGGCCTTTTCTCCCTTTGCAGGGTGCAATTTATCCCCATGGAAGACACGGATCCCTCGGCTCTCCCTGGGAGCTGGGCTGGTGGGGACGGAGCCAGGGAAGGAGCCAGGGGGCCCAGTGGCTTTGGGGGAAGCTGGAGACCTCTCTCTATCCAGCCTGATAACCACTTTTCCCCCAGGGAATGTCTCACATTGATTTTTTTTCTCTCTTGTTCTTCTCATTTCAGCTTAATTAAGAACCCGGCGGAACGGGCAGATCTGAAGATGCTGATGGTGAGTGAGGGGGGCAGAGAGAATTTTCTTCCTGCAGTGGGGTGGCACCAGCTCTGCCAACTGCTACCCCTTCCCTCTGAGGAGCCTCTTGCTCCAAAGGCTGGAAACTCCCAGGGCTGAGCTTTGGGATGAGCCAAATGGAGGCAGGGAGAGGGAGTGACTCACCCACCTTTGGTTCAAAGGCGCTGATGGTATCGGGGAACCACCCGCCTGTCCGGTGTCTGCTGAGGTGCCTGAGCCAAACCTGGCTCCTCACCCGGGCAGGTGGATGTGAGTGAGGGCTGAATCCGAGCTGGAAATGTGTGCTCACATCCCAGGAATCCATCCATGTCCTGGGCTCATCCCACAGCCGGGTGAAGGAGGGGATTCTGCCCCTCTGCCCAGCTCTGGTGAGACCCCTCCTGCAGAGCTTCCTCCAGCTCTGGGGCACCAGCATCCAAAGGATGTGGAGCTGCTGGAATAAGTCCAGAGGAGGCCACAAAGATGCTCCAAAGGCTGGAGCCAGGCTGGGAGAGCTGGGGGTGTTCACCTGGAGAAGAGAAGGATCCAGGGAGACCTCGGAGCCCCTTCCAGGACATAAAGGGGCTCCAGGAGAGCTGGACAGGGACCTGGGACAAGGGATGGAGGGACAGGACACAGAGAATGGCTTCAAAGTGAAAGAGGGGAAATTTAGATGGGATGTTAGGAAGGAATTCCTGCCTGTGAGGGTGGTGAGGCCCTGGCACAGGTTGGGCAGAGAAGCTGTGGCTGCCCCATCCCTGGAAGTGTCCAAGGCCAAGGTAGAGAAGGGAAGGCTCCAGGGAGATCTGAGAGCCCCTTCCAAGGCCTAAAGAGGCTCCAGGAGAGTTGGAGAGGGACTTGGGATGACAGGCCAAGGGGAATGGCTTCCCACTGCCAGAGGGTGGGGCTAGATGGGATATTGGGAAGAAATCCCTCCCCGTGAGGATGCTGAGACCCTGGCACAGGACTGCACCAGCACCTTCTCCCCTCTCCAGGGTGTATCCCACAGCACGAGGGCTTTGCTTTGGGAGCCGGGGAGGGTGCTCCTAACCCTGTTTTTTTTGTTTGTTTTGTTTTTTTGTTTTTTTTTTTCTCCCCTGTGCTTGCAGAATCACACCTTCATCAAGCGCTCCGAGGTGGAGGAGGTGGATTTCGCGGGCTGGCTGTGCCGAACGCTGCGGCTGAACCAGCCCAGCACACCCACCCGCGCTGCCGTGTGAGCCCCGCTGGCACCGCAGCTGCCTCTGGCACCACCTCCTCTCCTTCCCTCCGCCACAGAACTGCCCTCCTTCCTCCTCCTCCTCCT